GGCGCTGCAGCCGATCCCCGCTTTAACCCCTTCCCTGCCGGAGTGGGGAGGGGAGGGGAAAAAAAAGCTCAGCCTCTTTCTGTCACCGCTCGATTGGTCCCTCCCCTTATGGAAGGGGCTGGGGAGGGGAAGGGAGGGGAGGGGACCGCCTTTCCCCCCCCTCCTCCTCCATCCTTGAGGCTTTTTTTAAATACCACCCCTCTCTTCTGAAAACTGGTGGTCTTTTCTTCCCTCCCACTCCCCTTCTTTCTTTCTTTCTTTCTTTCTTTCTTTCTTTCTTTCTTTCTTTCTTTCTTTCTTTCTTTCTTTCTTTTTTTTTTCTTTCTTTCTTTCTTTTGCTCAACATCGCTAAGGATTCCTCGGATGCAACCAGCGCTCCAGGAGGCCAACGGAGGGAAGGGGTGTGTGTGTGTGTGTGTGTGTCTTTGAAACGGCTTCATGCACACACACACCCCTATATATATACATATATGAGAGAGTTACCCCGGCCCTCCACTTGGCACACGGTCCGATCTTTGTTAGATCTGCCCTTGGGCTTTAGCGCAGAGGTTGCTGTGGCAACGAGGGCCCGTTCCCTGGCAGAAGTGGGGGCGAGCCTTGGTGGGGGGCCGGAGAAGGATCGGGTGATCTCTCGGGCCAGCCCTTGTTCGTTTTCATTGTCATTCAAGGGCACCTTGGCTGTAAAGAAGACATTTATGTATATTTAATGCAAATATTTATAAATAATTTATACATGTATATGTAAAGGATACACACACAAACACACATGTGCCTTTTGGGGCCAGATGCCTTTTTGTATCCTCATCATCATCTTAACTTCTCTCCAGGGGACGGAAGGATCCTCCTCCTCATCATCAACATCTTAACTTCTCTCCAGGGGACGGAAGGCAGCATGCATGCATTGCTCTCTTCCCCACATGAGCCTCCCAAGATCCCTGTGAGATACGCTGCCCCTATCCATGGAGGTTCTGGGCCCAGCTGGCAAGAATGCAAGAAGCAATGTAAACATATGATAGAAACAAACATTTTGAGTTGAGTAACACCTTTCACTGGATCACACCAAAAAGACATTAGCACGCTTTGCAGTCCCCCAGAACAACTTTTTAGCCATGCTCTCATGGAAGGAAGGTCTATCTTATCGGCTGCTTCCAGAACCAGACCAGATGCCCACAAGAAGGATATTGGCATAGTTCTGCCCACTTTTACTCTCGCTCCCCCAATGACTGGTATCCCAAAACATTTCGAGTGTGAACATTTGAACAGGGCGTCAATGGACAATGAAGCCCCAAGGATGCCTGAAAGCCAGACAAAAAGAACACTAAGCTAGAGGTGCTATAAAAGGTTGATTGTCCAATTTAAAAAAGAAGGGGGGAGGAACCAGTTTATGAATGGCATCCTTTATCAAAGGCAGAATTACTACAAATCCCTTCTCATGCTGGGATTGGAGAAGTTATCTGCAGCCAGTCTTTGTTCTCGAAGGGCCAATGTTCAACTGCCCAGCCCATGCCTTGTTTACTCAGTGTTAAATCTCAACGGCAGTGATCCATCAAGACATGAGGAGTTTGGACAAGCTGCTTTGTCCAGATCCCTTTCAATAGCTCCAGGAGCTGTAGTCCAAAAAAGTCACTTTGTCCAACACTGGGAGGAAAGGGAGGGGAAAGAGAGAGAGAGAGAGAGAGAGAGAGGCTGGAATCCTGTTGCATAGATATAAAATTTGCACCACAAATCCTAAGTCCGATATTCTGCAGATGGAGTTTGGCAGTCAATTGCGCACGGTCCCTGTGTGTGGTCAGTTCCATTGTCAATTGCATTTTCATTTGTGCAGACAACTGCGGGCCTTAGGGGTGCAGTCCATAACAGGGTCAATGGTGTCATCAATTTCCCAATGAGTTGCGCAAGTCGCTGTGCAATCAGAGGTGCCACCTGCCTGGCCATAACTCCTTGTACACATCTGCAGGTGTAGCTTTACACGAGGCAAAGTGAAACAAGATTTCGCCTCTGTTGCTCTTCCCAGGGACCGTCAATTGCGCAAAGTGAGATGTGCATTCGGAAGGCACCGGAGGGGGTTAAACTAGGTAACTCTTAAATTCCCTTCTAACTTTACCATTCGGTGAGTCCATGATTCCTATGTTGTCACTACAAATAGGAGTGTCTGTAGAAAATGGGGTTTCCCCCCCCCCCGGGAGAAGAAGGCAAATCTGGAAAGTGGTATGTTAATAAAATATGGGTGTGAGTGTCTGTCTGTCTTTGATCATTATGAGAATAAATAAACTTAGGATTTCAGGGAAAGCAAGGACAAGAGGAAAACCTACCCATTTAGTAGCACATCATGTTTGAAAAGACATTTGTGTGGCTGAACTTGGGTGTTGCTCTTGTTGTTAGAAATATTTTTATCTTGACTTTTTCCTTAAGAAGGACCCAAGGTGGCTTACATCAGTGAAAGGCAATATTTAAAGCTGAAAGCAATAAGAATGCAAATACTAAAAAGGAACAAACAAATATCACTCTGAGAGATGGTACATACAAGTAGTGTGTAAGAGCAGTAATGCATAGCAATCCATCTAAAAGTCACCCGTGTAGGCAGCCAGTCACATGTAGGTGTGCGTGAAGAGAAAGGTCTTTGCCTGCTTGTGGAAGGACAGCAAAGATGGGGCCAGTCCGGCATCCAGTGGGAGGGAGTTCCAAAGTCTTTGCTTTCAAATGCTCCAGCAGCCCTGTGACTCTCACAAAGGCACACATAGACAGCAAACTTCAAGACCTCAGAGAGGTGCTAAAATATTTAAAGAAATAAAAATGAACTGTGTCACACGCCCTCCATGATGCAAGTAGATTTCTTCCTTTGGAGGAAACAGATCATGCACAGTTTATCTTCCTTTTATACTGCACTGGTTTCTTTAGAATTTGAACCATTGCCCCTGGAGGAGGTAAGATTCTGAACTTTCTGGTGTCATGCATGAGCAGCATTTGTTTCCTCTCTGGTGGTGTGGTTAGTGTGATGAGCTCAAGGGCGTGATAAGAGTGAAATATCTATGGCTTTGCTCCAGGGCACCAAAACAGAGAGGTGGATCAATTGGTAAGTGTTAGGAAAATGAAGAACACCACTTTCTGGCTCTTCAAAAAAAAGATTTGGTCTGCCCTTCTAGCAAAAGATTGACCTCTTCAGTCAGGACAAGACATTATAAGTCCATGTTTATCTTAAATTTGCTTTCTCTTGGCGTTTCGTGTTTCCTCTTGTATTTCAATAACCCACACCAGATCCTATGAAAGGGCAAGATAGAACTCCAGATAAAGAAACCAAAGAAATACAGAGAGGTGGGAAAAGTGCTATTTTTGGACAAGAAGTCCGAAAATTCCATGGGCAGCATTCTGGAGATCGCAACTTCCAGATTCCACAGCCAACCCCCCCCCCAAAAAAAACCTCCCCTACCCCACAAAACAACAACAACAAAGCACAACCTACAAAAACTAAGTTTCTTATCTCCATAAAGGCATTCATTGGGCAGAGGGAAGTTGACAATATTGAGAAATGGTACTTTTAAAAAAGAGCAGAGACATAAACGTTCTTAAGAAACCTGGCGTAGAAGCAATATTGTGCAGATGTTTATAATCTTGGCTCCACAGTTTGAATCTCTGCCCTGTGTCTAAGCTACCCCTTGAATTAAAATTCCAGTTATTCCTTGAATAAAAAGACTTCTGTTGTAATGATGACTCTAAAATGTTTCTAATGCAGCTACCGCCCCCTGCTGGTGCGAAAACCTCCAGTCCTCTATGATAAAGTGACAGTAGCAGAAAGAAGTGCCCTGTGTGGTGTAGTGGATAGAGAGGCAGATTAAGAGTCTGAAGAACAAGGTTCAAATCCCTGCTCAGCCATGGAGACTCACTGGAGAAGTGGAGGCCAGGTTGCTACAGAGATCAGAAAACAGGAACACCCCTCTTCCTTAGCCTATCATCTTCTCTGCATTTGCACAATTTTTGATACTCTTACAGGTACGCACATAAACCACATGAAAAAAACAGCCACGGATAGGCAGAATTTCTTCATTAGGATTACAGCTGTCTTCCAGCCATTATGGCCATTCAGACTAGGAACTGTGTGCGCCATAGTCTTTAAAAAAACCCTTTCTAGTGAGGACAGAGAACGAGTCAAGCGTCCCTCCTCTAGTGGGTTTTCTCAAAGCCTCTGCTCTCCATCTGTTTGGATGGATAGTTGTGTTTGTTTTTAAAACATTATTCAGTAGAATTTATAGAATTCTGTTCGCGTCCTTCCTTTCCACCCACTAGTGAGCAGAGTGTTCATTCACCCTTGGGGAAAAAAAAGATGAAGGGAAAATGAAATGTAGGGAATGACCTTGCATCATGTCAGAGCAGTAGCCCATCAAGATCTTCCTTCAAGCTCACCACTGTTTGGTGTCCATTTAGTGCCAATGCACGAGTGGGCTTTCTTGATGACCCTGAGCATCCTACTGAGAACGGCTAGGCTCTCTCCCTTGGCCAGCGGGTGACCCCATGTTCCACTCCAGGTTTTATTTCCTGCATTAGAAACATTTCTGAACTTTACAGGAGCTAATCCAAGAGGCAAAGTTCAGACAAAATTCTGGACTGGATTCACTGCCCCCACAAAACTGTAGCCATCAGCTACCTTCTCCTAGTGACCCTCCTGCGGTCAGGTAAAAGATTTTCTATTTAGAAAGTCTTTTTGGCCATTGACCTCTGGGTATTAAATGGAGTGTTGGGCCTTATTGCTTTGAATCTGCTTTTGGTATGGATTTTGTTTACCATTTTTAGTGTGGTATTTGTTTGTTTTTTAAAAAAATTACATTCAATGCTTTAGTTTTTAAATGTTGTCTTTTAATGATGTAGGCCACCTGTGTTTACACACAGAGATTATATATATTCTATATCATATATATTATATATCGATCCCCCCATATATATAATGGGCAGAGTAACAAACTAGGACTCAGGAGGCCTAGGTTAGAATCCCATATATATGATATAGCTTTTACTATAATATAATATAATATAATATAATATAATATAATATAATATAATATAATATGCACTCTAAGCTCAAATGCCCGACTGCATGTGTACTCTAAACAGAAAAAGACCTTATTTATTGTAGATCTATGCCTGTAAGATATATTTTCTATCATCATCTGTTGACATGGTTCAGATAAATCAATCTCTCAACAACAACAACAAACTGTGAATTGTGAAATGAAATTAATGGCATAGATTGGTTGCACAGAATTCACAATGTCTGGAGCAGGTGGTGGCGGCACTTCAGACTCTTCTCTGCATGACAAAATCCCTATCAGGCAAAATCCAAAGAATCAAAACAAAACAAGACAAAAACAGGAGGCCCCTTAAAGACTAACCATTATATTTTAACGCAAGCTTTCCTGGACACGTCCACTTCGTCAGGCATTAAGAGGCATGCCCGACGAAGCGGACGTGTCCGCGAAAGCTTATGTCAAAATATAATAGTCAGTCTTTAATTAAGGTGCCACCTGTTTCTCTCTTGCTTTGTTTCTTTGGATTTTGTCTGACATCCTTGCGCAGAGTAACAGGGCTGCCTTTTCCAAAAGGACCAGATCCGTCGCTCCTGCGCTGGTGCCAACAGACAACAGACTTCTCCGACTTTTTTCCCCCTTTTTACTCTCTCTCTCTCTCTCTTTCTCAAAGAGAGAAGTCCCTCTTTTTAACTCCTCTGGTGCCCTGAGTGGAATGCTAATGTCCCCCCCCCGCCCCGGACGGGAGATCCAGCCTCTTGGCTGCAGCTGGCTTCCTTCCTTTGCTCGCTCGTTGGCTGGCCTGCCTGCACGCACGCACGGGAGATGATTGTGACCGCCCGGGCTAGTCCCACCCCATCGGCCGGGCCAACCTCCTCGGATGATTGGTAGGCTTCCCTTTCAATCCCGCTTGCAGTTCCTGGTTTTAGGAGACCTGACGGCGAGCGATGCCCGTGCCCGACCAGGCAGTCGCCCGAACGAACGCTGGAGTCGCGGTAAGAGCAGCTTCCGCGCCTCCTCGGGTCTCGCCTGGCGGGCATCGCGCGGAGCCCAGAGCGCCTTGCGGTGGAGCATGATGGGAAATTCCCTCCTGCCTCTTTTGTCCTCCTTCGCCCTCTCGAGCATCCTCTTCCCTGCCCTGTTGCAGCGAATCCCATACCTCGCCCCGTGGAATGAAGTCTGGGTTTTTTTTCCCATGGGGGTTGGGCAGATGTGGGGGTGGAGAGAGAGACTGTTGGCAATGGGGGGGAAGGGAAGGTGGGCTGGATTCCCATTTGCTGCATTTTTAAACCACCCTTCCCTCCTGGCCACATTGAGGACATCCTGCTTTGATGCCTTCCTTGGCTGTTTCCCCCAAAAATGCCACTTGCAAAGCTTCCGTTTCTGCATCTTCCCGTTAGTTTTCTCCCTAGTTTCCTTCGGCTTCCAAAGTCAGTTCTCCTTGGAGGCCGCTCTGGAGCCCCATGGAACTGGGGGAGCAAAAGGAAGGAGAGGGGAACAAGACGTGGACTCCGAAGCCCCACACCATCATTTGCTGACAAAAACAATGAACTTTATAGCACCCTCCTATGTATGGCTCCTCTCTAAGTCTGATTGAATTCAATGGGGCTTGCTCACAGGTAAGAAAAGGTAGGATGGAAGCCTGAATTCCTTTAGAGCTGGAATGTTTCACCTTTACTGAAAAAAAAACGTGGTGGGGTTAACCTCTGACTGGAACACCTAAAAGTTTGTTTCAGACAAGTTTACTTTATACCTCTGAATCAGAAATGTATTTGCTACACTGCTGGTACCACAGTCCTGTACACTTTATTACAATAATTATGTGCCATCAAATCAGTTCTGAGTTGTACTTCCTGCCGCTGTTAAAGATAACTAAAAATAATTGCATTCCACCAATTCAGTTCTGACTTATAGCAACCCTTTTCAGGGTTTTCTTGATAGAGAATACTCAGAAGTGATTTACCCTTCCCTTCCTCTAGGGGGCACCCTGGGGCTGTGCAGCTTGCCCAAGGCCACCCAGGCTGGCTCTCCTTGCAGGAGGCCCAGTGGGGAATCAAACTCCCAACCTCTGGCTCTGTGGCCAGAGACCTACAGCACTGAGCTATCCAGTCAGCATCTATATTCTTTACCTTGACTAAAATGGATTGACTTTTATCCTTATACCCTAATTTTCAGAGGCCAATATCAAAAACACTGGACAAGAGTTAAAGGGAGGTACTTTCTAGACTACAATACCCAGAATCCCTATGACGTATTCTGGCTGGGGATTCTGGAAGCTGTAGTCCAGAAAGTAACTTGACCAGGCTTTGTTCTAGACTGACAAAGAGCACACCCTTAAAAAAAGATTTCTAAAATGTAGATGAGAAAAACTGTACATATAAAGATTGACAGGACTGGACTGCATAAAATTCTTGTTCCACCAATATTTTGGCTTCAGGTCACTCCTCTACAGGGACCATCCCAAGACTTTCTGTTGCTTCAGGTGGAAGAATTGATGCCACCCTTCATCCATTAATGTCAAAGTGCCAACTACCAACTACCACGACATTTGAGGCTTTTTTTGTGTGTGGCTGTGCCAGTCATTCCTCTGTGCTGTTAAAAACACCTCTGGCTTATGGCAATCCCACAAATGAGCAATCTTGAAAATGTCCTATAATTAACATCCTTGTGCAGTTCTTGTAAACTCAAGCCTATTATTTCCTTTAGGAAGTCAATTCCTCTCATAGTTGTTCTTCCTTTCTCCCCTGCTGCCTTCAACTTTTCCTAGCTTTATTGTCGTTTCCGAACCTGCATCGGTTTACAGCAGCAGGAGTCCTTCCCATCTTGTGCAACTTGCAAATTAGCATGCTTTGTAACTGGACACTGGGAGGTTAACACCAGTGTCATGTGCAAATCTGACTGCTCCAGGCACACGATACCATTGCTAAAAGAATAATATACAATGATCTTTTCAATGCCACCTAGTTTGACCCTCAGCTCCTTATCTTTATAGGTAGTCACCTTTTCTCCAATAACTCAAGATGACTTACATAGCTGTTTTCCCAATTTTATTTTCATGGCATCCCTTTGAGGTGGTTCAGATGGAGACAGTCCAAGGTCACCCACCACGTTTCATGGTTCAGTGGGGACTAGTTCCCTGCCCACACACCAGAATTTGTCTGCTCTCTTGCTTTCTAGAGAGATGGTGAGTGGGGCTAGGATAATACCACTTACAGTATCCTTTTTTTCTGCTTGTTTCCATACACATCAAGGAGCTGCACAATGATGGAAGGAACCAGACAAGCCAGGATTTCGCGTCCGCACAACATAAGTGAATCTTCCAAGGTCAGTGGGTTTTCCCCCCCTTGCTTCATATGTTTGCTGGATAGGAGGTTCCTCTCAATTATTTTGGAAGACTCCTCTGTGTCTCCTTTGTACCCTGTAATTAGCAACCATATCATGTGAAGAGCTTTGACTAAGTTATTTATGAAAAACAACCTGTTTCCATTTTTTTGGTTGCTGTCACCTGTTGTTACCTGCTATCATATTGAAACAATAATTTCTTACATTACTTGTGATGCCCCTTGTTAATTTATTTTTTCATTACTTAAAAAAAAGAATATAGAACTGATAATGGCGCAAAACTTGAACAAGGAGCAGCAAAAGTCTTTGGAAAGTTTTTTAAGAAGTTTTGAAAGCAATAGAAATTTTCACTTGTCACACCAATGAAATGCCATCATTCCTACCTGTTGCCTTTCTTTTGGCATGTAACTCGGCCATGATTTTGTTACCTCCAAAACAGAACTACTTACAGGTGACTCTCAGTGGCTGAAGTCCTCTCTCATAGTTACACAAATGGCCTAAATTTAGGATGTGAATTGCCATAAATTAAGGAATCTCAGTAGATGTTATTTGTTATACCGAGTTGGGTGACTTGGCATGCCTTGTTCGAGCAACTTTCCAAACCACATCCTCTTCCTGATCCAACTCTCTTGATTAGACCCGGCCTTATGAATCGGTCTTTGATGCTGTTGATGGATAAGGAGCCCATAGACTTACAGATGTTGGTGAACCTCGACTTTTATCCTCTTTCATGTTGGTTGCTTTCATGGAAGCTGCAGTTCTAAAATATCTGGATCAACATGTGTTTCCCATCCATGATATAGTCACTAATGAGGAGAGTTGCATGAACCAGATGTGATCCTCCATGGCCAGGTTTCCATGAATTCCAAGGTTTGCTTAAGCCCATCCTTAACCTAAAAGTCTTATAGACACCCTGTGCTAGAGAACAGCTAATCCTGGCGTCCCTGGCTCCTTTCATTTTGTTTTTCCAGGACAGATTCTGTTCCTGAGTATCAGACATATCTTGGAGGCCCCCATCAACAAGATTTGTTGGGCTTTTCTTGCATCAGAGCTTGAGGAAGCCCCTTTTTAGACTGCAGCTCACAGGGATCTGAGCCTAGTTCTGACAAGTTCTAGTCTAACTACTGTACCTTACTGACCTTTCCTGTAGCTAAGACTGTGCCATATGTTTTGGAATGGGCGTTGTGTCTTAATAGATAAAGGCCTTTCTAGGTTTTTCAAGGGTTCCTTATGTTTCTTAACCTAAAAGTCTTATAGATACCCTGTGCTAGAGAACAGCTAATCCTGGCTTGTAGGACTTATTGTCTGATCCTGAGACTGTAATAACTCTTTCGTGAAGAGCGGTTCAATGCCTTTTCTCTCTTTCAGGTGTACAAATGTGCTGATCACGCCAGCCTCGTTCTTCAGAGCTTGAATGAACAAAGGCAGCAGGGCCTTTTCTGTGACATCGTCCTGATTGTAGAAGAGAACAAACTTCCTGCCCATCGGAATATTTTAGCAGTCTGCAGTGACTATTTCAACTCCATGTTCACCATTGGCATGCGAGAAGCCTACCAGAAAGAGGTAGAGCTTTTTGGATCTTCGTACACGGGTCTCAAAGCCATAATGGACTTCCTGTACGGCTGTGATCTGTCCCTTGATGGTGGAAACATTGATTACATCCTGGAAATGGCCCACTTGCTGCAGATCTGGAAGGTGGTGGACTTCTGTTGTGAGTATCTGGAGAACGAAGTCAACGAGGAGAACTACTTGTACCTCCAAGAGCTGGCCTCAATCTACAGCCTCAGGCGCCTGGATGTCTACATTGACTCTTTCATCCTGAGGAACTTTGGCACGCTGTCTTTCACGACGGACTTCTTGCAGAACATTTCCACCCAGAAGCTGTGCCAGTACCTCAGCAGCAACGAGGTGCAGCAAGACTGCGAACACGACTTGCTACAGGCTGCGCTCCAGTGGCTGACGCAATATCCAGAACGAGAAAACGAGGCCTACCGAGTCTTGGAAAACATCCATTTCCCTTTGATACCAAAGAGCGACCTGCTACACCGGGTCAAGCCAGCCGTCTGCTCCCTCCTTCCAAAGGAAAGCAACTGCGAAGGGTTTATCGAGGAGGCCGTCCACTATCACAACAACGTCACTGCTCAGCCGGTCCTTCAGAACAAGCGGACGGCTCTCCGTACCTGCGAGGAGAAGCTCCTTTTTGTTGGTGGGGAAGTGTCCGAACATTGTCTGGAGCTGAGTGATGACACCTGCTTCCTGGACACCAGAACAGGACAATGGGTGAGGGAGACACCGCTACCCGCCAGGCGGAGCCATCACTGTGTTGCAGTCCTAGGAGGTTTCATCTTTATCGCTGGAGGTAGCTTTTCACGAGACAATGGTGGAGACGCAGCCTCTAATCTTCTATATAGGTATGACCCTCGTTGTAACCAGTGGATAAAGGTGAGCCCTGAGCGGTAACATTCTTCCCCCCCTTCCTTTTAACATTTCATGTATCAGAGGAAGACAAAAAAATGTCTGTCCTCAAAACCTACTGTATTTTTCTGTGTATAAGACTATACTTTT